GACTTAGGGGACTTCTTGATCACCATCCATTTCCCAAAAGCATTTGGATCCTCTTTTCTACTCACCTCTTCCACCATCTTCTTTGTAGTAGGCCCAGAAATGACACACACCTTCTTCTTGACCTCCTGCACAGGTTCAACATTAATCCCACAACTCTCCTTCCGGTGGCCATATTTTCCACAGCTGAAGCAAAGCATGTTTAATCCCTCGTACCCCACATGAAATACTTGGTCCTCAATTTGGAATTTAGGGAGAAAGCTTCTTCTTAAATCCACCTCCACACAGATCCTCGCGAATCTGGCCTTCTCTGTTATCTCACCCTCACCCGCTTCGTTCTTCCTGAGAGAGCTTTTATCCAAGAGATTGTCAATTCTTCAGAGATGATAGTTAGAATACAGCTTAACTGGGAGACCGAGAATCTTTACCCAAACTGCCTATTTCTTCACTTCCTCATCATAGGGGTTGAACATAGGTCTCCATCTTTGTACCACAAGGTAATGACCTGCAACGATCCATAGACCGTCCTGGAAGACATGAGTGTAATCATACTCCTCCTTAAACCTGATCAATAAATGTCCATTATCCAGGCTTATCAACTTATAAGTACTTATGATTCCCCAGAGTTTTTCTAGTTTCATCATAAGTTACTTAGAGTTGATTCTCCTACCAAGAAGTTTGATGATGATCGTTTTTTCCGTTGCTCACATTCAGCTTTGTGCTGGGGCTTTAACAGTTTATACACTATACATAGGGGTCTTCATTTATACTCTCAGCCTCCTCCATGTCTTCGTCTTCTTCCTCCCTCTTTTGGATAAGCATCCAATCCTCTTCTTAGTTATCAGACTCATATTCCTGACCGTTGAGCTAGATTACTTTATCCCTATAAGAGATACAACCCTTTGACTTAGCAGTAATCCTATCTTTGATATTCTGCACAACCAAACCCGTTCCCATGAGGGTAACTCCCTCCGCTTCAATAGGCATAACAGCCTCCTCCATAGCATCCTCATGAAAATCTTTAGGTCTGTTAGTACTTCTCTGTAGGAGATCCACATCCTCCTTTGCAGCTATATCCCGTTCGTTCTCACAAGCAATTTCCTCAGTGTTTCTCTTTAAACTACACAGTGTAGCGAAATTCTCCATGTTTGACACGTGACATTTTTGGTTTTGACGCGGCATATTTCACTACACCGTGTAGCAAATTATTTGCACACATATTTCGTTACACAGTGTAGCGAAATATGCCACGTGGCATTTTGACAAAATTTACTGATGACGTGACATTTTGGTATTTTTTTTTTTTTTGCCAAAAGTGACACTTTGGCCGATGTCCGATACTTGTTCTCTTCTGAAGTCGTGTTTTCAAAATTATTGTTACATTTTTGTTAATTAAAATGTTTTGAGGGGTATCTTTGACTCTTTGCAATACTGGGATTCACCAGGAGCGTCCCTGTTGCACTCAAATACTAGGGCAGAATAAGAAGATGCCGTCATTGTGGACCTTACCACTAACCATTTTGACGGGTATCTTTGACTCTTTGTAACAGTGGGACCCACCAAGAGCGTCCCTGTTGCATTAAATAGTAGGGCTGCGTTCAGATTTCCAGATCGTAAGATGATTGAGAAGGAGACCAGAAGAGAAGAGGGAAATTGCAGGTTTGTGCGTGAAACTAACGAAAGATTTTGAAAGGCTTTCAATTTTTCTCTAATCCATTTCCCTGTTAGTCTCACGCACAAATTTGTCATTTTCCTTTTCTTTACTTTTTTTCATGAAAAGCTCTTTCATTATTCTGTTGCGTTACACTTCGAATTTGTATTCAGATTAAGCGAGATATATAACGCCGCAGCTGGATGCCTTGCTGTTACACATACGGTATGGCATCTTCAATGTTGAACCCACAGTTTATTTTTTATTCATACGATAATGTTGTCGTGTAATTTTATTGAATATTGTAGAGAATATATATGAGATGACAAACAACATACGTGACATGCAGCGCCCAAGACACCTCGCCGAATTCCTCGAACTTTTCGTTCCGAATAGAAGAGCTCCTCAAAGAAGACACTTGAGGTGTCGGATTAGAGTTTATAAGAGAGAAAGAAGAGAGAAAGAATTGAGATGAGAGAGAATTGTCCAACAATTATATGTAATTTTTTAACTTTTTTTTTTTCCATATACCACCTGAAATTAATTAATGGTCCAATTATCATATCAATCCATGGCAAAATCCATCAAATGCGTAGGTCTTTTTATAAATCTTTTCCTCTTGCGTTCAATATAAGCGGTGGTGGATCCTTTCATTTGTAATTTCTCATAACCAAGTCATATGAAATTTTTTAACCCTTCATAAACAAATCAACCTAAATAAAGAAAAGGAAAAAATATTAGAATATACGATGTGAAGGAAAGAACTGATGATTTATCTATCAATCTTCAAGAACTACTCACATGATCCGATCATAAAAGGATCCATTTAGTGTTATGGGCTGAAGTGGAGTAGCCCCGGACCAAGATCAATATGAATTGCAGCACATATTCATATGAATATGCTTACACACCGCATTCATAGAATCATTAAAAAAAGAGCTGCACGGGTCCATCCATAAAATTTTCTTCAAGAAAGTTTCGCAGAAAATTTTTTTGTGTCCGTGTTTTAAATCTCACAAGTATTAGTGTTTTTCTACTAAGTTGTAAAACATTTGACGCAGATACCTTGTATATTATGTTTTGGGGCGAAATAACCAAAACGATGGAGCTTTCATTGGATTGCATCAGTGGTACAATTTCCACACTAAACTGATTTCAATGTTCATAGCAAAGAATTTATAGATATCTAAGTTAATATTATTTTTATTTTTCATTACATGTTTACACGGTTGTTGGCATTTTAATAGCAACCCTTGCACCCATTGGAGGAATATGAACAATTATTCTTTCTCTTGGTTGAAGCTAATTTGGTTTGATTAGAATAAGGTCACACCTTGATTTCATTCAATGTCACATAATATACCCCAAAAAAATAAAAAAAATTCAAGGTCAGATAATATTTTAATTTTTGTTTAAATTAGTTATAAAGTATAAGCTTTTTTATTTAAATTATTTTTTCTTTGCATAATATTATAATATTTTTATAATAATACAATTAATTTTGAAAAATATTTTATAATATTTTATAATTTTAGTTTCTTATTTATAAAATTTTACGAATTAATTTTGCACAATGTATAATTTTTCTAAATATATTGAGTAGACTAACGAAGTTATTATCACAACGTTAAGGATCCAGCACATTTATTGCCGGGTTCAAGTTTAAGTTAAAATAAATCAATTTCGATTAATGAGGAGGGTAGAAGAACTGTGACGTTAATTAAGATTTAGGGTTTAGGATTTTAAAAAAAAAAATTGGTACAAATTTATAAAAGGTGAATGTAACCAAATTGGAGCTCTCCAACTCTCAAGCTCATAATAAAAGCGCAGCTCCTGATATTCAAAACCTTAATGTGTTGGGTGTGGCTAAATTAATTATTTTATATTTTTCTAACACATGCCCTCACATAAGAGTCATTCGGGCTTAAGATGTAAATAAAAGTAAAGACGGTGAGGATCGAACGCGTGACTTCGTGATCACTAAAACTCTAATATCATGATAAACATTACTTTAACCCAAAACATTAGGTGATGATTTTTTAATGTTTTTTATATTATTCTCCAACGGTTCAATTTTTTATTTAAAAGTTTGTGTCTGCACGATCACTTGCGCAAAGTGCAGGTCCCTAATTTAGTGTTATGGGCTGAAGTAGAGTTGCCCCGACCAAGATCAATATGATTTGCAGCACATATTCATAAGAATATGCTTACACACCGCATTCATAGAATCATTGAAAAAAGAGCTGCACGGGTCCATCCTGATCAGACGTAGCTTTGAAGAAAAATGGATTTGTTTAGGATAAAATAGGTTTGTATAATAACATGATTGTTTTAAATTTTGAATTATCAGAATTAATTTTGTAATGAGTTGAATTAATTTAGGGTTCATTATTGGTTTGGAGCGGAAATTATGGTATTTTTATAATTTTAATTTATTTCAGGGTAATAATAGTTTTTATATTTATAATTTTTTAAGATTTCAATATTAAAACAACATCGTTTTAAGAATAAATGCAAATAAGTTATCTGCAGTAACTGCAAAAACATTTTTCTCATTAATTTAAAGAGAAATAAACTTTTTTTAAAATTTCATGACAAGTAAAATTAATTTTAAGGATAAGATTTATAAGTTTTATAAAAATGTTTATATATATATATATTAACATATATATTTAAAAAAAAACAAAAGTAATTCTTTTAAATTTTTTTAAAATTTAAATTAATTTTTTATTATTAGTTCTTTTACATTAGCTCTCTGAAATCAATTTTGTCTGAAAGAAAAAAGAAAAAGCCCGTATCGGCGTAACCAACGTTCCAAATATCGAATCGTTATAGAAGTCCTTGTGGACGCCATCCTATGACCATAAGGCATATATTCCTTATTTTGATATAATTTCTTAAAAAAAAGTAGTGTAATTTTTTTTTTTGGTAGATGTGTAATTTAATATTTAAATAATGTGCAACTACGTGTTCTCTTCTTTTTCTGATTAAAAAAATAAAGGTGGCCCAAATTGAGATGCACGTTAGTGAGTTGTGACTATCAAGCCACGCGGTCCAGTTTTTCAAAAAAAGTTAAATATTTTTCAATGTAAATTTCATTACCGCTAGACTGAATAAGAAGATGCCGTCATTGTGGACCTCATCACTAACCGTTTTGACTCTTAGTAATAGTGGGACCCACCAGGAGCGTCGTAGCGTCAAGTACGAATAAATCTTACGTGCATCTGTTGTACCTAGATTTAGTGCATCCCTTCAATGGAACCATTATACATTTTGGCAGAAGAAAGAGAATATTGATTGACATGTAATATTTTTATTAGTGGATGCACTGAATCTTTGGTGCAGCAGTAGCACCAAAGATTTATTCGTCAGTTACACCGTAACGTCCCTATTGCATTCAAATACTAGGGCTGCGTTAGGATGCCAGATCGTAGATGAGTGTGAAGGTGTGCAGAGGGGAAGAGGCAAATTGCAGGTTTGTGCGTGAATCTAACACAAGATCTTGAAAGCTTTCATTTTTCTCTAATCTATTTCCCTGTTAGATTCACGCACAAACTTGTCATTTTCCTTTTCTTTACTATTTTCCATTAAGAACTCTTTCATTATTATGTTGTTTTCACTTCGATTTTGGATTCTGATTTCCCCCTGTTTGGCGCAGGGAGAGAGATGGATAGCTTTTGTTACGCTACGGTATGGAATCTTCAATTTTTATACTGGAGTTTATTTTTTATTTATACGATGTTGTGTTTGTGAAATTTTATTTTAATTTTTCCTGAAGACCAGATTCGTAATTGTTGAATTTTGATTTGAGTTGAGGAGATTCTGATAGCAATTTGTCTGTTTGTCATGGTGATTTTTCTTCTGAATGGAATTTGTGTGACTGCACTAAAACTTATCTGTAACCGTTCTGCAACTCTTTTTAGATTTTATTTATTCATTAATTTTAGTTAGAGAGCAAATAATTGAAACTGAGATTTAGGTCCAAGCTATTGGTTTGAACTTTTCATTATCATACATGGACGGTAGTACTGTACAGTTGAAATGGGAAACAGGCAAAGAAGCCCTAGCTTTGTTTTGATATAAAATTCACTAGTCTGAACTCTATAATGCCTAAACATAACTTGACGGCTTTATTTTTCTAGATGGAGTGTTGTTTAAGGTGATTTTGCATTTTTTCCCCTTTTTCGAATTCCACTATGGGTAGAGAATGTTCAACTTAAAATTTTCAATATCTGGGGTTGGAAACGAAGTTTTGTGCCAGTCGGTTTTTTGGTTGTTCTCATAAATCTATTAATATGGGGATTGTTTATTAATAATGAAGTATGAAAAGTGCATGTCAGTAGACTTGATGGAATCAAATCTATGCTTATGCTGGCAAAAAGCAAAAGATTATTGTGAGGTTATCAGAGATTTATTTCATTTGAAGATTTATATTAGTAATGATTAATGGAAATTTGAGTAGTATCAATTGATTTGTTGGAAGACAAAAGTAGTACAAGTTTCCCAAAATATTGTGAATACATTCATTCTAGATTGTCAATATTTGTCCGCTTTGGAAAGCTCATGACCATCATGATGATAATGGAATTCTCTTTCTTAGCGGGCAGGGAATGATTGGTGAGTGGGGAGAATTTTGTGCAATTGTGGAGTAGCAGTGGGTGCCTTGCCCCCCAATGAGAGAAGCTTCTTTAGGAAAAACCTCTGAAATAGGTTGTGTAATTGTGACTCCAGTATTGTGTAAATAGCATCTTGCGTGTTTTAGGGTGGGGTGTGGTTTGAATGTAATCCCCACCTCTATTTAAGCAATGACACTTCATTATTTAACTTCTTGCGTTCTTTTTATTTTCTTTGATACCTGTTAACCACTAATGTTCGATGACTTGTGCGTCAGAGTATTATTTCAACTGTGTTTTATTGCAGGTACTCCCTCGGCAGCGTCCAACAGCTTGCTTAATGTTTCGTCGGAGTCCATGTGGCATTTATAGTTCAAAGAATCTGGTAAGCTGGAGTTCGAAAATGTCCTTTGATGAAAACTTTGAAATTCATTGGTGTTGACTTAAGCATGCAAAGCATGACCTCCAAGTTTGCATTAGAACATCTTTGCTATATCATTTCTGGCTTACACACAGTCTCATTAACTGTGTTAGAGTTAGCAATTTTTTATTAGGAGGTCAAACCAAACATATATTATATTAAAAGAGAAGAACCATCTACCAAAGGTGTTTTATGAAAATTTTATCATCTTGGGGGAATCATGAATCTCCCTTCCCTCCACCGCTTTGATCATGTTTAAAATTGAGTGTTAAATGCCAGGACGTCAAATATTCTGAGTGGATTTGGGTTAGAGTTTCCTTTGAAAATATAATTATCCTTTATAGCCAGCAAGTGCTGTGAGGTTCACCATTCCATTTCTATTATGGATTATTGCTAGTTATGCTATGAATGATTGGACGATGTGGTGATCAATAAGAGGAGGGTGAACATTACCCAACTTCTTTAACTTCCAGAATATATTTTCAACTTCTCCATAACTTTGAGTGTCTGCCAGTCCACGTTCTTCATCAGATTCTAGATTACTTTCCATGTTCATCCATGACAGTTGAAAATTGATAACTTCACAAGAGGGGCTAAGGGCTATGTTAAGTGGAATGCATATAGATATAGACTTTTCTCACTTTGACTTTAGATTGGAATCGACTCCTTTTAAGTTAGAACTTGACATGAACCTTTTGACAAGAAACTGCACTCTCTTTGGTCTAAAATAAAATGCAGAAGTTTCTCGTGGCACTTATAATTTTAATTGTATTTTGTATATATTATTGTTTTTCCACAGCTCGTTGAAGGTACTTTTAGGTACCGTCATTGAATAGTTAAATTGTCCAGTAAAAATAGCATGGCATACGGTGCTGGTTTCAATTTTGATTGAAGATTTTTTTTTTTTATACTTTTCCATGCAAGTATGGCTAAAGGTGACCGCACTCTTCAGTTCTAAATTGGCAAGAAAGTGACCTTTCTCTTCCTACTTATAAGACAACGGTGGCATCACTATTAATTCATTATTCAGCACTTCAACAAGTGGTCTTTTCGAATTGTCTTATATGCCTCGTGGAAAAGTCTTGCTGTATTTCAGAAAGTAGTTTTGTTTTAGCTCGTGACTACACATTGATTTCAAATTGTGTGGCTGGTTGATAGTTTGATATGCAAATTATTTTCTAAATATTAGTTTAATATAAGGAATTAGTGTACTTTAAAAGGATAAATATTTTTCCTTAATATAATTATTAAAAAATAGACAGCTTACATTAATTTTTTTTTCTCCGTATCTGTCAGGTAGAGCTGTCAAAATGGGTTAATCCGTTCCATTTGGCCTTAGCCAGTGTGAGTTAGGGTCAAAATGTCCGCAAGGCCAAATTAACCTCAATAATATAGGTCCTCACGGGACAAAAGTTTTATTGGTTAGGGCCAGCTCGCTGGTCATCCAAAATTGTAATTTTATAATTTTTTTATCGTATTCGATACATTAAAAGATATTTTAACAAATAAATATTTAACATTTTTTAACATATTTTTTACAAATTATAAATTTTTTATAATTTAATTTTTTTAAATAAAATAATATTTGTACACAAATATACAAGTGAAAATGTACACAAATTTTTAATATAAGTGAAAATTTACTTACCATTTTTACTAAATTCATTATTAAGATGCTATCAAATAAAGATTTTCTCATTGGGAGTCATAACAGGATACAACAATTATAGTAGGAAACTAAAAGTAATGATGGAAAAATTATTTTAATATCAGTATTGAACAACTGCTCTTAGTATGCTATATATTTGAAAGTAAAATCATTGATTTTTTTTAACTACAGATGTTACAAAAAACTTTTTAGTTATTATTATCCACAAAATTACTAAAGTGTATTTTATACAATATGTTTTAATACAAATTCGAATGTATTACATGCCTAGATGTTAATAGAAAATTTTATTTTTATTGATGCGAAAATGAAAATCTCTGTTAAAATATATCACTGCCAAAAAATTCATTTTTGTTGTAAAATATTATGGATGAACTTTCACATGGTTCATAACACGTGACTCTTTGTTTTCCATGACCTTTGATATATTCTATAGTCATAACATTAATGGTGTGTTGAATTGTAGAATACATCCAGGGTGTTATAAAATATTATGGATGACCTTTCACGTGATTCATAATACACGACTCTTTGTTTTTTCATAACTTCCATATTTAAAAATACATCTAAGATATGTCCTTATATAGGACTCTTCTTATTCTTATTTTATTCTTTCTTTAATTTTTTTCTACATTTCATTTTTTTCTTTCATATTTCACTTTTTTTATATTCTCCATCAAATTCACAACAAAGTTTACTGATATTTATAAATATTTAAATTTATATATTTTTAGTTTTTTAAATAATGAAAATTTTGATGAAAGAAAAATTTTGTTCAGCCTGTTAAATTATAGGACTTTGAGGGTTAATGTTAAAAAAGGCCCTATCATAAAAAGACCCTAATGAGTTAGGGCCAAATATAATACTTTGTGCTTTAATCCATTTTGACACCTCTACTGCCAAATATAAGGAATGAAATGAAACTACGAGAATCAGAGCAACATCATAAAAATTTGTTAATACACTTGGACATTGAAAAAAGAAAATAAAAGAAAGGAGAGTAGAAGTTCATTAGAATAAAGTCTACTCACCTCTTTAGAAAATTATGTTACATCTTATTCAACAACTTCACCTCAAATTAAATGATACCGACTTTCGAACCATAAGCTTTCAAAATCTCTTTGTTATGACAATTGTTATCATTTCCATTTTATGTAATAATTGGATAAACCAATCATTTACTGACACAAGATTGACCAAAGTTCCAAGACAAATTTATCTTATGAGAACTTCTGGCCTTCGAACATGTTGATGCCTTTAAGTACCTCCACTTGTCTCTATGGTCTGCTTATAACTGCGTCATGACAAAGCTTTTGCTTTCATAGTTTTAAAAATATTAACTAGAAGATATGTTTAATAAATATTTTATGTACCAAAACCACCAAATCACTGTCTAAAGTTCAAAGTTAAAATTATTACATGTGATATTATATAAAGAAAGTAGTGATATTATCTCAACAATGAATAAATTATGTAGGCCGTATTTTTAAAAATAAATAACAAATAATTGATTATTGAACTTCAACTTTATCCGGTGGTGTTGTTAGCTAGTATGAGTATTTTTTTTTTTTTTTTTTTAAGTTTGGTGGCGTAAGGCTAAATTCAGTTGTTCAAACAGTGCCCACCCACACACACAAAAAAAAAAAAAGCAGTTTGATTTATTCAACTGCTTCTTTTATGAAAGGGTTAGGTCTATGTTCATCCACTGTTTAAATACAATTTATGCAATCATTTCTTCTATGCTATTTTATATTTCTTTTTTGTGATTTTCCCTTTTTAATAATGTCCATCTTTCCCTTTATAAAGATGATTTAATATCCAGTACAAAAGGGTACAATTTATTCATTCAGCATTGGTTTGGTTTTTATTTGTCATATGCGTTTAAAGTTCCACCTAAATCTGGACTGTGGCTGTGTGGCACATGGAACCGTTTCATTCTTGGCATCGGAGTCTTCTAGCTTTGCAAATAAATGAGCAAAAGACTTTAGGCCAAAACTACACTTGTCAACTTTTTTTAATTTTCATAATAAACATCATGATTTTATTTCTCAATTAAATCACAAAGTTCTATCATCTATGCAACATATGCTTCATCATTATAATAAGATCTCACAAATAAAAATAAATGTGTTTAAATTGAGTAAATAAAAGTGTATTTGAGTTTTGGCGGTCAAAATTTCCATACATTTTAAATTAAATAAATAAAATATGCACTATTACTTACTCACTTTAAATATAAAATTACTTTAAGAGAGTCTTATTCTTAACAAACGAAAAAAAAAACTATCATGATAGGAATAGGTATATACATTTTTCTTTTTATTGTTGGGTAATATACTTGTATAGTTATATAAAGAAATTAATTATCACTAATTCTTTTTTGTTTCAATTTAATTTTTAACTCATTTCAACTAACTAATAACATGTTTGAGTTTACTAAATTATTAATTTTTTTTTTCAAAATTTAACAATAAAATTCTAATTAAAGCTAACTTTAAATATAAATTAAACTAATCTAAAGAAAGGCTAGATTTAATAAGTCACATCATAAATATAGGAATTACATCGCAACTACACAAAGCATTTATGTGTGTTGTCCTATATTCAGAAACATTTCGTAAAATGGGTGGTGGAGCAATATATGTTGATTCTATAAAATTATTTCGTCTGAAGTAATTTTGGAACGACATAGAAGCAACTTTCTCAAATGAACTTGTTTTTCATCATAAATATATAGTAGTTTACCTGAACCATTCCCTTAATTGGACATGGCTATTAGCTAACTCAGAATGTAATACATGGTAATGAAGTTTCCCTCCAATTTTCCTTTATCATTCTCAGAATCAAGGATTTGAAAATTTGAAACTTGAAGTTAACACGCACAAAAGAAAAAAATAAATAAAAGGAAAAAGAAAAAAAGTATTACATATGAAGAGAATAAAGGTAAGAAAATTACATAACTAATTGAGGACGAACTAATGGAACAAGCATCTCTCACTTTTTAGTGGGGAATGAGATAATTATTAAGCAAGGCTCAAATGGCGCGGTTAACAAGTTTGCTACTAAATTTGTCGTAACATGGTTTTCCAATCAGAAAAAATTTACCTAATTATTATAAGAGGAAAGTACTTCTTATGTGACTGCAGAAGGGAAAATTTGCAGCAACACATGATACGCGTCCGAATCCTGAATTTTTTTTGTTTTGATAGGATCCGCACGTGTATCCTAGGATCCGCACGTGTATCCTAGTGTTAAAAATTTGCTGTAACTTTTCTCATCAGCAGCAACATGAGAACCGACGGACCCTTATTATAATCCTCTTAACTTGGATAATTTTTTCTATCTATTCTCAATTCAATATATGAAGCTATGAAACCATAAATTATGGTTCAAAAAATTGAATTTGTAGTGTGTGATTAAGTTTTTGTAAAAGCAATAAATAAAGTGTTTTACTTTTCTCGTGTATAGTAAGAGATAAGTTATTTTATGTTGTGCAACAAAAAAAGTGAGATCCATTAATTTTATTTTATCATTTTTAAAAAAAGATACATCTTTTTACGCGAGTATAACATGAAAGATGAATCTCATGCAAACATAAAATTTATTTCCACAAATAAAACTTTTTTCATAAATAGAGGAGGCAAACAGAGGAGTATTGAATATATTTTTTATTTAAGTAATTACATAAGGAATAAATGTTAAATTTTAGAGTAAATACTTTGGTCCGTAACAAAAAACACAGTCCCTACTTTAGTCCCTTACAAAAATAAATTAGTCAATTAGTCACTAACAAATTCAAAGTGAACCCATTTTAGTCCTTTTCAAGGACTAATATGGGTGTTTTTTGAATTTGTGAGGGATCACGATTTTAATCCACTTTCAATTTCTTAAGGACTAACTGACTAATTTATTTTTGAAAGTGACTAAGGTGAGGACCGTATTTTTTCGCAGCGATCAGTATTTACTCTAAATTTTATTATGCGAGAGCACGAGTTAACCAGAGTGAATAAGAATTTGTCTATCTTCTTGTTTAATGGGTTAACTCTGTTAACTTTTGTTGCCATTAATACATTGAGAAAGGCATTGGCATTCCATATTTATACGAGACATAGCATTAAATCTCATCTAACGGACCCCAAGTACACATGCAATGCAGTTATTCAATGTGGATATGTTCACGCTTCACGCTATCCCTTAAACGAAGGAAATTACAAACATCCCTTTAACTCTCTTCCCTCTTAAATCTTTGCGTCTTTGCGTGTGTTAGTGTGTGAAACACACAGGGAGAGAAGAAACCCTTAAACACACTGTTGTTGTTCTTTTCACTTTTGCTTCTGTTGGTGTTTTCTTTTTCGTCTGAAAGAAGAAGTGCGTTTCTTCCAACGTTGGTGCTCTGCATGAAAACAGAGTCCTATTGTAGGTATTTATTACAATGAAGTATATTCGGACCAATAGCTTGAAGAAGCTCTTCTCGTTTGGAAGACGCAGTTATGGGGAAGAAAACGATGAGAGCTTGGTGATTCCTTCTCATGGAGAACACCCTCCAAGACCCTCTTGGAAATGCTTCTCTTATGAAGAGTTGTTTGATGCCACCAATGGCTTCAGCTCGGGTACTTTGAGTATTATTATTTTTTTCCCCCTTGTTTTGTTTGAAATTTAAAGTGTCTTTTTTTTTGTGTGACTTTGGGGTTGAAAGATGACATTTTTGCTTGTTGTGTCAGGAAATCTGGTTGGAAAAGGAGGGTATGCAAAGGTTTACAAGGGAAGACTGAATGGTGGTGAGGAAATTGCTGTGAAGAGGCTCACAAAAACTTCTAGGGATGATAGGAAGGAAAAGGAGTTTCTGACAGAGATTGGTACAATTGGTCATGTGCGCCATTCCAATGTGTTGCCTCTTCTGGGGTGTTGTATTGACAATGGACTTTACCTCGTTTTTGAGCTTTCCACCGTAGGCTCTGTTGCTTCTCTTATTCATGGTACATAAATCGACATCAGCAAAAAGAAAAGAGAGAGAGAGAAACAAAAAACTAAAAAAAATAAATCCTTTTTATGTTATTAAGATTGAATTTTGGGCTGCAAAACTTGTCATGTCATCTGGGTTTGCAGAAGAAAAAAAAAATGGGGTCTTAATAGTCTTTGAATCTTCCTTGTAGATGAGAAATTGCCTTCTGTGAATTGGAAAACAAGATATAAGATAGCTGTTGGGACTGCACGTGGCCTTCACTACTTGCACAAAGGCTGCCAGAGAAGGATAATCCATAGGGACATCAAGGCTTCAAACATTCTATTGACAGAAGATTTTGAACCACAGGTCCTTTTAATCTGTACTCTTCTTGCATACTATGGTTGAATCTCTGTCTCAATGACAGTACTTTTGATGGGTTTACTTTCTCTAATTTGGTTGTGGCAGATATCTGATTTTGGACTAGCAAAGTGGCTTCCATCTCAGTGGACTCATCATTCAATAGCCCCAATAGAAGGGACATTTGGGTACACCCTTTGTTTCCATGACCCTTTAGTCATAGCTATCAATGTAGTATATTGAAACAAAAACGTGGTTTTTAAATGGGAATGTCTTATCTTTTGTAGTCATTTGGCACCTGAGTACTTTATGCATGGAGTTGTGGATGAGAAAACAGATGTATTTGCCTTTGGTGTGTTCTTGCTAGAAGTCATCTCTGGGAGGAAACCAGTGGATGGGTCTTACCAAAGCTTGCACAGCTGGGTAGTAGCTCACCTTTGATCATGAAACTTTTGTTATTTTATGAACTTGCCGTATTCCTTAGGAAATCCCACATTTGGTTTATTCTAGATTTAGTCTTAGACTAATGATGACTTTAAAATAACATTGATTAGTTTTTATAAACGTTTTTGGTGTAAAATTAACTTTGTGTTATGACTTAACAGGCTAAACCAATATTGAACAAAGGGGAGACAGAAAAGTTGGCAGATCCAAGGCTTCAAGGGGTTTATGATGTGACACAGTTTAATAGACTTGCCTTTGCAGCTTCGTTGTGCATCCGGGCATCTTCAACTTGGCGACCTAGCATGAGCGAGGTAGATCAAATACATTTGCTACTTACCTATGATATTACTTTTTCAAATAATATGTTTATTTATTTATTTATTTATTGGGTTGGTTTAGTTTTTGTCTTTTGCTAATGGAGAATATCCCCAAGCCATATATATAGAGGGATTCCACCCAGGTTGTCAAGTTCTACCCTACTATTTAGCAGGGCTGGTTACATCTTAAATGTTAATATCTTTTAGTCACTCTTATCTATAATAGAAGAACTTGGTGTCTGCAAAACTAGTTGTCTTTCTTTCCCCCCCTTTATTTTCTTCTTTATTTTGGTCACCAGACTAGGAGAATAACTGGTATAACCACCACGACATTGCATAAGTAACAACACTATTTGATGTTTATCAAATTATATCCGATATTTATTGATACGTGAAGAGTCTGTGTCTGCGATTGGTCCACTTGGCTTTTTTATTTTATTTTTTAATCCCATTTGTATAGAGAAATTTATTTATGGGTTTTATAAGAGTTATGTTGTAGGAAAAGTGATTGTGTTATGTTATAGAGATTCGTTTTGCGTGCAAGAGTTTTTTTTTTTTTTTTTGCTGCGAGCCCCACAAAATGTTGTGTGTGTAGGAAAATCTTTGTGGTCATGTTAAATGATAAATGATAAACCCTTTATTTATATATATTTGACCTCTAAAGTCCCATATCCGCAAAACTTTGAAAATTTAATACTTTTTTTTTTTAAAAATGAAAGTTTTAATACTTCGAAGCAAACGACAACAGGAAACTGCAATATATAGTAATGGCAGCTTACTATTATGTATTAAATTCGTCGAAATAATTTTTTTATTAGTGTTCGGTCGTGGATTGACCGTATTGCTATACCGTGAAGTATGTGCTCAGAGATAGTGTATATCAGGTGTATACTAGGCTTATAGCCGAGGTCCCAATCACTGCGCACAAGCAATAAGCTTATAGCCAAAGGGTGGGTGTGTGCACAGTGTGGGCAGTATCAGTAAATAATAAATAAGTTAAAAGTGTTTACAAATAGTAAATAGGTTAAAAGTGTTTACTTGAGGTCCTTAGACTCTTATTTATAAGGATTACCTTCTTAGACTTGGGCCTTTTGAGCTCTCTCAATTGCAATAGGATTCAACTCCTTTTCTGTTGGGATGTGATCCTTATCTTGTGACCTTTGACTGTTTAGAGTTGTTGAGATGCTGGTGACTCTATCTTTTACTAGATACCCTGGTAGGTAGTTGGAATATGATATTCATATCCATAACAATTACACTTATACATATTGTTTGTGGATCCAAAGATGGTTCATTGCAAAATTCCAAATGACATTTTTTTTTTTTGCGTTAATGAATCTTTTAAAAAATGATTTATTAAGGTCGAGTTCACTTCTTCCATAAGCTTTTTCAACTTGACTTACTGTCAATTAGCAAGTGTGGCGTGTTCACTAATCCAGTTATGGCCTTTTAGGTACTGCGGAGTGACAAATAAACAATATATGTTGAGGTTCTGGGTTTCAAATAATCACAATGTCTAAATATAATACCATATTGTCAGCTGTCATTTTCTTTAATTACGAAAGCTTTCCTTAGATGACCATAATCTTCAGCAGTCTGATATGTGATGTAAGAAACTTAGATTCATTCCTATTTTTTAATTGCTATTGGTAGCATGTTGTTTTTTCTCCTTTTTTTTTACCCATGCAAATTGATTAGTCAGTGATGTTCTGTCCTACCTAACTTCTATTCTAATTAGAAAGCAGATAACATGACAATCTTAAATTTGATCTGAGTATCAAATAAAGAAATTATACAGTGAGTGGTTACAATTCTGGAAATATTAAGAAGCCAATTGAAATGTCATTACTCATTGGTGTCTTGTTTCTAACTTGGAAGTTAGAAATGGCCAACATGTGGTTTCTGTTCTACTGAACTTGTTATGTAAACTTTATTTCTTTAAAGGTCTTCTAGACAGTTGAAGTGCATTAGTTATTATCACCTCTTTGGTGCTGAATTGTACCTTTATCCAACAGAGAACACATTATAAATCTTGTACAACAGTTGAATGCACTTATGCACAGTTTATAAAGGGCTCTTGATACAGTTTATCCTAGTTGATGTTTATACTTTAATGATCTAATATACTCTCTTTTTTTATCAATTGATAGGTATTAGAGGTAATGGAGGAGGGGGAGATGGATAAAGAGAAGTGGAAAATGCCAGAGGAAGAAGAGAAAGATGAGGAATTATGGGGTTTTGAGGATCTTGAATATGAATATGACAGTTCAGATTCAATGTCTCTACCTGACTCCAACCGTAGTACTTAGGATAAAGCAGTTAGGTAAAACTTTCAACTACCTGTATATATGCGAGTTACATATATATGAAAATGCAGAGAAGCCTCTTGTGGTTTTTCTACTCCTATCTAATCAAACTATAACATAGTATTTTATTTACTTTTTTGGGATGAGAAATATTAATCAAAATTTAACTCAGTCACTTGGGCAACTCATGGCTTAATTTTGACCATATATGTTTCTGCCCTCTTAATGTATTACATATGAGAACAAGTTCAGATGCGAATGAAAATCACATGGCAAGGTTGTTTTCGTGCTTTATAATTCACAGTAAACATTTTTTAGTGAAACAGGGCAAAGATGATTGGGCACGGAATACCTGTAATAGCATAAGAATGTGTACGGAGTGTGACCAAATTTATTAAATTGGAGGATGGTTACTACGGCAAGATATATTATAGAGAAATCTAAAAATATAAATAACGAAGTAATTAAACCAAAGATAAAAACAATTTTTATAATATCTTTTAAAAAATTATGTTGAGTATATTATCAATAAGTACTTGTTTTACAAAACTCAAAACCTGCAAGTCTAATATAACAATTTCGGCAGTTTCCATAAGCCAATTGACCAAGTCACCTGCAATTAGTATGCAAGTATTTTTATTTTATTTTTTGGTTTCACATGAAGTTTGTGGAGAAAAGAGGTTGGTTTATTCTAAAGACAAGGCATATCATAAGTTGACTTATAACGTTATTTGTACATATATAATTTATCAATGAAAATTTATTAATAAAAATCAAATCCAAAAGTTTTTGTCTATATTATTCAATCTGCAACCCTGTTTGGCTTATTAATGTATTTGAGTACTGATGAAATAATTATAAAGAAATATTACAAGGATTAAGCACAACATCTATAGCTAAGTGGTGCACATATTTATTAAATGGTTATGGTAAATATAAATGTTTTTATGTAAGATTTTAACTTCCTACAACATAAAAACATTATTTATGAAAAATAAATTAAGTTGTTTAAATAATCTTAATTTTAATGTTTTTATGAATTAAGAAAAAATTTAATTATTTTAAAATCTGCTTAGAATTCATCTGTGGAGCTGGTCACTATCACTTATTTTAAAATAAAAATAAAAAAGCATATGCAACAATAAGTTTCATGGATGCATCAGCTCAGCTGTCATACATGTTGCCATATGCCTTTTGATCCTATTTGGAAATTGGAAGGCTCAGCAGAGCTGCCATGCATCCCGATCGTTTTTAGTAAAGAAATAACTGCAGAAAATCTTCACTGTGAAATTTTTTTTTTTTTTTTTTTTGGTAGACAAAGTTTGTTTTTATTTAAAAATAACACAATTTAAAAAAAGTTCTGCTTTTTTACTATTCAGGTTTTAGTTATCATACTTATATTTTAGTATATCTGAGTTTTTTTTTTTATATAACAGTATATTTGAGTTTTTACTTCAAAACAAATGTAATTTTTTTTTCTTCTAATTAAAAAATAATATCGTTTTTATATTTATAAATTTTGATTTCTTTGTTAATTTATGTCCTTCTATATATATATATATATTACTTTTTTGAGTTTTTTACTTTTTACTCATTAAGGCATCATCCTTATTTTTTTTAATAAATATTTGATTTGTATGATTTTAAATTATTAAGGTATTATTCTCTAAAAATAAAATTCCAAACGAATAAAACTATAAAGACTAATATAGAAAATAAATAAATTATAAGAACAAAAATTTAAATGAAATGTAACTGTAGAGATTATTTGTTTATTTTAACCAAATCTGTTTTGGGTCCCGATGTGCTAAAGCTCACAGCTGTAAGCTCAAAGGTTAGGTGGTGCCATGTGCATCACATCTGAATGAAAATCATAATTAGATTTCCCAATGACAGTTAATGCATCCAAGGTATAAATTGTAGCACAAATAGGAACAAAGATTCTGTTCTAAAATTATAATGGTTCGGTATGTATAGTTTCATTGGCAAATAATTAAATTTAAGAGCTTATAATTTTAAATCTTTCCATATTATCGTTGCCAACAAAAAAATAAATTTATCAAGGCTTTGCCCCCTCCTAATCTATATAAAAAAAATTATATTTATAATCTATTCAAGTTCACAACCTCGAATATAACAAAAAGTTTAATATTGCCAAAACTTTTACAAAAAAATTATGGGACTTGCTTTTCGCACAATTCATTACATATAAATATATTTATATGAATAAAGGAGTGGCAGTTGATGAACTGGTAGAATTTTTTGTACAGCAAAGATATTGCTTCAAAGTTGATTTGATTAATAAAATGTTGCATACATGATTTGTGGTGGTTGAACACTGCCCTAATCAGGCCACCGGGAAGTTGTTCAGGAAGTAAAAAGACACAAACTAATTAACAATATACCTTTCGAGTTTAGTTTATAATAGTTTTATGGGCTTTTTGATCCTTATAACCTTTTATTATTAATTAATTACCGATTTGACCTTGATTATAAATTATTTCAAAAATTTAACCCCCTCAAAAAACATAACACCAATCTACCCCTGTTTGACCGTTGACCACCAAGCCTACCCGGGTACACCCTTCTCTACCCGGGTATTTTTTGAAAATTTTTGTCTACCCAGGTAGGGAGGAGTGTACCCGGGTATTGTTCTTCGCACTTGAAAAATTGCTTGAATTATTTACCCGGGTAGAGGGGGTGTGCCCGGGTAAATCTTCGACCACCCATTTAGTACTTGCTATAACTGGGGCAACTTGTAGCTGATGGATATAAGAACAGATATGATTTATTTGATTTTGAGGAAAAAGGGGCAACGTGAACACCACCCCTTCTTCATCCTCACAGTCACCGTCGAATCGATTTTGAAACTAAGATGAGATCTAACATTTGGTTACCTAGCAAGAAAGAGAAGAGCTTGGCAATGTAAATCCACAACACACCAAACCTGTCAACAAGAAATTGTCAGCTTGCAAGTAAAGATGTCGTTATTAAATCATTTCCTTTATCTCTCTCCCCTGAGTCCCTTCAATGGTTTCTGCGTTCAGTTTTCTGAATTTTTTCAAAATCTCCGGAACGGTGGGATTTTACGATCTAAGAAGTCGATCTCATCCGATCTCACTCTCAACCGATCTTACCATTCATCTGTTCTTATATCCATCCGCTACAAGTTGCCCCAGTTATAGCAAGTACCAAATGGGTGGTCGAAGATTTACCCGGGTACACCCCTCTCTACCCGGGTAAATAATTCAAGCAATTTCTCAGGTGCGAAGAACAATACCCGGGTACACTCCTCCCTACCAGGGTAGACAAAAATTTTCAAAAAATACCCGGGTAGAGAGGGGTGTACCCGGGTAAGCTTGGTGGTAACGGTCAAACAGGGACAAATTGGTGTTATGTTTTTTGAGGAGGTTAAATTTTTGAAATAGTTTATAATCAAGGTCAAATCAGTAATTAATTAATAATAAAAGGTTATAAGAGTCAAAAAAACCTAATTTTATGCTGAAGGTTGTTTAACTTAAAAAAGACTAGGAGGGAATAGTGGTGCAACAACAAAGATAAGGCACCGAATGATAAATATTAGTATTGCTTAAACTGAGTGATTACATTATTGAATGTTTCATGGAATTTTTTTACTTTTTATTTTTGGATACATATGTTTCATGGAAGTTGATACTGGATAAATTAAACGATCAGTTTCCTTTTTGTTTTGTTTTGTTGTGTTTTTTTTTTATATATATAAAAAATATCTTCAATGTATAATAAATCATGGGAAATAATAATCTTATGTTACATAAGATTGTTATCTTATGCATAAGACACAAAGTAAACGTGGAATCCATTTTAAATTTTTTTTTTCTTCCTTATTCTCTCTCCTCTCTCTTCTCTATGTGTGTGTAGGAGATAGCTCTTCTCCTATGCAACATGAGAAAAGACAATCCCATAAATCATTTTGTTTAATTATCACATCTCAAGGCCTTAAAATAACTGCAACAACTGTATAAGATGCTTGGAAAGGTGAACTCCGCATTTCTGATACAAATGTGTTAAATTACAGTGATTCGATCAATGGTAATAATTTTAATAAAACTTTTGCAAAATGAAAAAGTGAAAACGGTAATTTTAAGGGTGTGTATGACAACCTTTTCGAAATCAATTTTTTTTTTTTAATTTCTGTACTCGGGAACAGAAATGGATAGAAAACTCGTTTGATAAAACTGATTTATTTTTTTGTTCCTGGTATAAATTGGTTTAATTTTTGTGCTGAAAAACAGGAAAAAGAATCATTTTTATTTTTATTTTTATTTTTTTGTTCCCGGGCACAAAATGAAAAACATTTATCTCTCTCCACTCTCCGCCTCTACCATCATCACCATCACCACCATCTTCCCGACACGACCACCGCCACCATCGTCGTCGTTGTGGTTGTACTACCAGTGCCGTCGTCACCACCATTACCATCACCTCCACCCATCACCACTATCACTATCATCACTACCATCACCATGCCATCGCCATCACCATGTCACCGCCAACACCACCATTACCACCACAACTACCACTACCATCACCACCACCGCTACATCACCATCGTCACCAACCACCCCTATCACCGCTGCAGCCACTGCCGTCACCACCATCAGCACCATGCCATCACCATCACCATCTCCGCCACCACCATCGCCGCCACTACCATGCCACCATCATCATCACCACTACTACCACCACCACCACTATCATCGCAGCCACTGCCATCATGCCACTACTACCACCACCAACGCCACTATTACCACCATCATCGTCGCAACCACTACCGTCACCACCACCACCACACCATATGGAAAGAAAAGTGATGATCCAAAATTTCTTTGTTTAATAGAAATTATTTTTTATTATATTATTTGTTGTGTTATCAAACACAATTCTCATTCTCAGAACAAAAATAGAATAAGTTATCAAACATATTTTTTTTCGTAGAAATTGTTCTAAGGCACAGAAATAGAAAATAATTTTCTTTTCAGAAACAGTGTCAGGGAACATAGTGGTTGTCATGCACATCCTAAATATAATTTTTTTGTTATTTTAAATTATATAATTTTGTGTTATTTTAAATGAAACATGTATATATAATTTTGCGAGAATAAGAATAAAAATGCAAATAATGATGTATTCATTCTTATGTTTTATTTTATATGAATAGCTAACGAACGAGATTCTATGTTTATGTTTGGTAGGGGTGTAAATAGATTAGGCCAGCCTATAGGGGCGGGCTTAGCTTATATTAGGCCAGACTTGACCTATTATAAATAGTAAAATAGAATCTACTTAGACTTTAAGAAAACCTATTTAGAAAATAGGCCATAAGCCTTTTTGTATATATCGGATCTATAAGTCTATAGGTTGGCTTATATCATATTATTTATTTTAAATTTTAAATAAAATTGTTTTAATAATTTTGAATAATAAAGTAGTATTATTTTAGTTATTCTTTTAATTGTTGAATATTTAATAGGCTTAAACATGCTAACATACCTAGACCAAGACTTTTATTTTTTAAATATAGGTCAGGTCAGACTTGTAATTTGGGGTCTACACAGGCTAATAGGCTAGGCCAGATCCAATTTTTTTTACACAAGCCTGACTTATTTAAGTCAAAACTTAGTCTAGCTTAACCTATTTACACTCCTAATGTTTGGTTATGCTAAAATTAATAAAAAAATTATTATTATTTTTACATTAAATAAGTTAAGTTGACCCAATTCAAGCCAGCCCAAGCCAGGTTTGCCTCACCAACTTAAGCCTAAAAACTATGGTTGGGTCCATAAGAAATTGAGATTGAACATGTGGACTGATGGATGGCCCTTTTCACACTTATATTTATTGAAATAGATCCTTCACTTTTTGGATCGAATGCCTATTCCCACAAAAGCAAACATGTTCATTCCTAATGCTCTTCCTATACATAATTATTTAAAAACTGGAGAATGAGAATGCGTTATTTTCATTTCAATTTCCAATCCTTTAAACCAAACAAGAGCTAATAGTATATATGTTTACCGTTCCAAGCAAAATAATCACGTAGTAGATCTCCAAACCATTTTGTGTCAATAAACTTTATATTAATTTTAAAATTTTAATTAGAAAACCATGACTTATGCAGATCCACATAATTAATATTGGCAATTTTTTATTTTGCAGTCTGAAGATATTAGCTGGTTAGTTTTCATATTAATTAATATTATTTTTATTAAAATTTAATAATGCGCTAAGCTAGTTATCTTTATTATTATCTTAAAATTGTATTCGTTAAGATCGTGCATTAAGATAAGCCGACATTGATATATCTCAACGATAGTACAGAAAAGGCTAGTACATAAAAGGTCGTACATTAAAGAGAGCGCACTAATCAGATAGTACGGTAAGATAGTACATTAATCCTTTCTTCTTCATTTTCCACTCACAAAGTGCAACATAAAAACCACGTTTTTTTTTCCCACTCTCTTTTCGTTGTTTCTATCCACGGCTTGTGTGGTGTGGTGTGTGTCTTTCACATTCACATTCCTCATAACTAACATTCAACTTTAAGGTTCGTTGTCTTTCAAAAAAAAAAAAAAAATATATATATATATATATATATATATATATAAGGTAAGATATTTATACTACCAAATATCAATTCACTACTACTTTAATATAATTATATATTCTAGGGAGTATATTAAATGTTGTTTTTCTTTTCTCTCTTTATAAACTTTCCAAAAATTACCGGCTAAAAAATGGGATCTGACGGTGATTAAAGTAGTATTATATAAACCATTGATGTGCCTTCACTTAACAGCTTAAGTTTTGAGTTGAATTGATTCTTTACATGGTATCAGAGTCTTGATGTCTCAGGTTCGATTCTCGTCATCCTATTTCCTTTATGGAATTTCTTAGCACAGGTAGGCTAAGCCCGATACATCATCCACATTTCAAGCCCAATGGGTTCTTGTGTGAGGGGCGTGTTAGAGAAATATATAAACCATTGGTTTTTTACATGGGATATATATTTGGGTTTAAAGTTTCTAAAGTTACTTTAAATAATTTTATCTAATGTTTATCAAAATACACATATAAAAATGTGTGGGGCCCATATTTTCTTTTTATCTATTTTCTTTTCACATGGACCCCACATATTTTTTTGTGTGTATTTTGATGAACATTAAATAAAGTTATTTAAAGTAACTTTAGAAACTTTAAAAGAAGAAAGTGAAAAAAAATGAACCCACATACTTTTTTATGTGTATTTTGATGAACATTAGATAAAGTTTTATCTAAGGTAATTTTGGAAACTTTAAACCTATTAATTATAAGTGTGAGATTATTTTATTTTTTTATAAGCATGTCTTTTCTCATAATTCTTAAATACTTTTTTAAAAAAATTTAAATATAAAAATTAGACTTATATTACAAACATAATACATGATATAATCTAAAGTATGTTTGGTTGACATTTAAATATAGGCAAACGGAAAAATAACACTTCCTAATATATTTTTAAAGGAGGTAAGTAATTTTTTATACCGTAATAAATAATGATACTAAAGTAAAATTCACTATTGTTTGAGCAAATCAAATTCTGTAATCTAATGGAGACGTTACCAAACCAACCATACTATAGTAAGTGTTTTTCTTCTTGGATCCAACAAAAATAAACATGTCACATGTGATTAAATCTTACAAAATCTATCGACTTATCTTAGACATTATCCTTTGCTAGCCAATCTATTAAAGTGTTTAACAGCTACGAATTTTTGATACACAAAAAAAAAGCTCGACAGGGTGTGTCTGACCTTAATTTGGTAAAAGGATAAGGTGAAGGAACTGTTACTGTAGTATGTAACTATAAATGCTGTGAAAAAAGGGGAAAATAAAATTTCAAGGAAACAGAAAAGTCTAAGTGCAACGCGAATAGCAATCGCGATCCTTCATTCGTTGAAGTGGAAGCCGCCACAGTTTTGCGGGTCAAACTGAAAGACCCAACTCATATAGCCAAACAAACAATCTTCAACACTCGTACCTTCCTATCTAAGTTGTTGTTTGTCGCTCATAATGCTTCGTAACATGTTCCTGTTTTTGTTTTTGTTTTTGTTGTTGTTGGCCTGGGTCGACTCGCACGAGGAGTCAGGTCCATGGACCTGCGATTCCAACTCGGAGATCCGAGTCGAGGCCGAGTTCAAACCCGGAGTTATTACACTCGACGGCCATGCCGACGATTGGAAAGGCATTGATGGGTCCCACTTTCCCCTTCTCCCAGCACTCGACCCTGATGTTGAAAATGAATTCAAAGGTGGAGCCATGTCCCTTAAGGTACCCTTAATTTGATTTCATTCAATTTATTTCTTTATTTATTTATTTATTGTTCACACAGTGATTGTGGATTTTTTGCAGACTCTGCATGATGGTCGCGATATTTTCTTTCTGCTTCAAGTTGATGGTGATTATGCGTACTCTAAAGGGTAAGTAAGCAATGTCATACAGAGAAAACAGCATCTAGTTCGTTAGTTTGATTTTATTATGCTTCATGCTAGCTTAGTTTAACTTGTCTGAATGCTAAACGAGCTTACATTGTTTCTATTGATAGTGTTTTAAATAATGCTTATGTTATTGGGGTTCCAACAATATTGGAAAAAAGAGAAGAAAAGTAAAAATAAAAATCATCTATTTTTAAGTTAATTTGTGACTAGCTTTTTCTCAGTTGGTGTTTTTTTTTGCAATGCAGCGAAAGCAACAAATGTCCATCTATTGCTCTCATGTTTCAAATTGGGGATAGTGCCTCTTATCATAATGTAAGTTGGTGAACTGAATAGTGTTTTCTGTTGTTCGAGTTTTCTTCAAGTTTTGGAATCCTTGTTGCTTTCAAGTATAATCCTGACCTTGCGAGAAGATCTTTATGAAACATTAAATGATATCAAATTGTGTTGATTGTTTGTTTAAAGATGGGTGGCTGTGAAGAACATTCAACCTCATGCACAAACAAGACCTGCAAAGGTCATGAAGTCGACATTATGCACTTTTCAATTGGAAATGCTATTCCAGGACGGCTTTATGGTGGGAATCCCCTAGACAATAGCAATGGAAATGGAGGTGACAGGTGATGAATAGAAAAATTCCTACACTTTCACTGTATTGGATGACGTTTTAAGATGAGTCTAATAGGGCTATTAGATGTGTTCATTCAGTTTCCTATATTTGTTGATACAGGTTTGGCCACTTGGTTGATCTTTATGCCTGGAATCCACACTGCAGATACTTGGATGGAACTGGTCCTTCAGGTTCCGGTATGTACCACTGTAACATCATCAATGGGAATTGTATGTTAATATGATTAAAATAAGAAAAGCAGAATGAATGGGATAAGAAAACCAAGTGGAAGTATCACAGATGACTCAAAGCCATCAGGGTAATATTTATAAAGGAAATATTTTCTCGACTTTTCCATTTAGTAGTTCACCTCATGCTTTGGAAACACAGGCTCCTTCATAGTCTAGAGAACTTTCTACAACTTTGAAACTAGTACTCTGTAGTTATTGTAAATATGACCATCGCTTGCTTTACTTCACTCTTGTTCACTGACTACATCTTCCTTGATACTTTTGCCTTTTATTCAAGTGTTCATGTATTTCTTTGAAGTGATTTGTACAGAAATCCAATTACTTATGTGAAACATGTTTTATTCTTCTTTATACATTTTCTGTTATCTAATTGCTTGTCTTTTTCCCTTCCAACCTTTGCTTTCCTCAAATGTATTCTATTGTACTTTATTTAGTTTGCTTACTTGTTAATATCCTCCATACACTTCGGCCTTATGAAAAATAGTGAGATCTTGTTTTAAACCATGCACGAGGAGGTCCAACACTTCACTTCTTTAGCTTAGCCATGACAAATCAGGGTTCGTGTTTGATATTAATCTCTTCTAAATTTACATTTTAATAAAAATATTTCTCATCAATTTTTTGTAAAGTAAATTATCTTTGTCCCACACATCCTAATTAAAATTTATGCCACTTTATAACATGAAAGTGGATCCTGAAATCATTAAGCAGTGATTGGATATGAGCATGTGTATGATGTCTAAGATTACTTTAAGATGGCTTCATCCACATTGGAAGAAAGGGATGTGTCAAAACTAATTAAGACTGTATAGAAAAGGACAAGATGGAAATATTAACTATTTCCTATGCTAAGATTACGGAGACAACTTTTAAGTGCCTAACTCAGATAAAGGTGATAAAGTTTTTAAAATGGCATGGCACAAGATTGACAAGTGCAGTTGTTAGGACCACAGACAATAATATCAAGCAGTGCCTCATCATAATCGTATTTGCTGTCTCCATCAATTCCTTTTTGTCTCAATGGGCTGTTCATAATCACCAACACTTAATAATACTTTCCTTTGTGGCTAAAATGCTGTGTGCTGCATAAAATATGAAGCGTCATAATGCCAAACCAGATTATGTCATTTTCTTTTTCTGTACAAAACATCACTTCAATGAGTAACTTCTGAATTTAATCTCTATGAGAATCATGAATTCATGGTACTAGATTTTGTGCAGAGAATTGTTGGTTCATTAATGATTATGATGTGAGATTTACAACAACTTTCCCATTATTTCTTCATAAGCTATGATGTAGGGTAATAATGTATCTCTTTTCAATGAGTTAGAAACCTGGAAGGGAAGACACTTCCTACCAGAATATTATGTTTTTTCTTTATGTATTGTGAATTGGAACATTGTGGGTTATGTATCTAATCTTGTCTTCTATCCTTTCATTTGTTGATAATCTTTTAAGTTATCTAATTTTTTTTTTTTAAGGTTATATTAAAGACTGTCCTCTTTTCTGTGGTCAGCTAATGATTCTAGTGCGCAAAATGACTGGAAGGGTGCTTGGTGGCATAGCAGCTTTGAAGTCCACTCAGGTGACTAATCCTTTTACTGATAAAAAAATAAGCACAATGTCCTGTCAATTAACTTTAATTGGAAGCTAAATTAAAGTATATCACCTTATATATCTATGTGCTATTCATGAAGTGAATGGTTAGTATATATGACATAAAGCATGTGAATCATGCGCTATGCGTCATTTGTCGTTTTTCTTGAGAGATATCCCAACAGCGCTTTAAAATTTTTCATACACGTAAGTGCCAGTTGCTTTTAATTATATATAATTAGTGCCATCTAGGTAGGTTAATCTCCCACTATGTCCCAAAAGTTCAGTGATCCATAAAAGAAGGATGACCAGCTTCATTTCTTATCGCTACTTTCCGTACAAAAATTATTTTTTAGTGTAAACCCATATTTTTGTCCTCCAAAGATTAAGCGTCATCACTTTAGTTTCTCAATTATGCAAAGTATCGTCAAAGGGGTCCTTCTTTGTTGGACCTGAGAGAAATGAGTGTAAAAGAGCCCTAATTGAGGGACTAATTTGATGATCTTTTGCATGATTGAGGGACTAAATCGATGACATTTTGCATTATTGAGGGATTAAATTGATGTCAAAAATATTTTGACCTAAGTGATGATACTTGTAACTATGGAGAACAAGGGTTTACTCTATTTTTTATTTTTATTTTTTGGTATCATTACTCTATTTTTTATGTTAAAACATATTTTGGATTATATTTCATCCTCATGTATGTGTGTCTGCCTCAAACACAGTACCTTAAATTTGATCTCTCTGCATTGTTTTAACCTGTCATTTAGTTATTTTGCATCTTTTTGCTCTAAATTACTACTTACATGCTTGTCTATAACAGGTTTCGTAGAGGATGAGAGTCCATATTCGGAAAATGGAAAAAAGGGAACATACTTTTTTGAATTCTCTAGGCCTTTGAGGACTATGGATCATCTTCAACAGGTTAGAACTTAGAAGATGATATGCTTCATTTAGAAGTTTTATTTGCTAAGAGCTCAAATTGATCTGTCCAGATTTTTTTAAATTAGCTGAATGCTTGGTCCATGAGTTCCTTCTCGATTAGAGGCCTTCCCAAATCTACGGGGTTATTGTTGGACTAGTTGTGAACTTAATTATTTATCAATTTTAATTAAAATTGGCATAGAGTACCCCAAGTCATGTGATAAACTCTGCTTTTTAGTTATGGTTCTATGCTGTTTTGTTTTTGAAACAGCTTTGGCGCTTTGGATGAGATAACTTCTACTGGCTTGTTTGTTTTACCTTCTTCCGACATAAATTTGCCTTCATAATAAATATTTCTTGGTTATTGGCAAACTTGCATTGGTGTTCATGCCAAAAGCTAATACAAACAAGGTTTAAACCATTTTTTTTTTTTTTTTTTTGTGGTTTTCTTTGGTGTGGGGGGCATAGATGAGAAAGAAGTTATTCTCAAATCTAATGGATGTGATTGAAGGATGTCTTCTGATTCATGTGGTTTTTGTTTAACATATTGTGATTATTGTGTTTATCTTTTAAATTCTTCCTATACAAAGACTCATTTTGTAGCTTTAAGAGAACTTGAAAACAAACATATTATTGTCTTATGGGTGCTGTAGTAGTGTCTATGCTCCTGAATTTCATTTATGTTATAACAAGCAAGTAAAATGGTACAAAATAATACCTTGCAGGATGTGCAATTTTCCATTGGCGGATCCAGTAAGATGTCTGTTGCATTCTGGTATCCAGTAGATGGTCAGCCATGGCATGGTTCTGGACACTACTCTGTTAACTGTGATTGGGTTCCCATTGATATATCTTTGGGAAGTTCTTTGAGTGGCAAGTCAGGAGACACAGCATCAAGTAGCTCATGGAATGTTGCAAGTGCCTTTTCTCTTATACTATCAGTAGCAGCACTTTGTGTGTCTGTGTTTGTGAGCTATCGGGTTTTCAGTCCCAAGGGTATTCCCTTTACACCGATGGAGAACCTTTAACTATTGCACCAACAGCTTGAGTTTGGGATTGTACTATTCATTACGTTTGTACTAGATGGGTTTGTACTGTTTAGTGCTTTCTCTTTCACTATTTTTTTAATGTAACTGAAGCATTACTTTAGTTATTTTAGGCAATGGTCTGAAAAGTCTTAATTCATTATCAGCTTTTTGGATTTCCATCTTGTGCTTTGTTGTTGCAGTAGCAGGACCGTTCACTTTTCAGCTTATATTAAGTTCAAAATGGAACCACGACTTTTTCTTTTCTTTTTTCCCTCTTTCTTTAACTGGTAATTTGTCATTGAGGGTCGCAACATGAACTAAACATGGAGACCTAGTCCTGCAAGAGCATCCTTCTCTTGAAGTTGAAGGGTGTTGTCAACAGTTATATTTCTAGTGTAAATAGAGCCAAATTAAAAGCATTGCTTAGTTGTTTAATACCACGTGAATACGCACAAAAGGACAGCCAAATTGAGATGACAACATTGAGATAAGACACAGGTGACTTAATTGAATCGAACAATCCTGGTGTATTAAGGATGCAATGGCATAATATAAATTACAAATTATGTATATTTGCCAAAGAAACTTATAAGTAATACAGATATGTACCCAAAAAAAAAAAGTATTACTGATATAAACATAAAATAATACCAATTTACTCTACTTCCTTAGTGTGCTATTTTTATTACAACCTTCAACTTATGAAAGGAATTAAATAATGCTGGTTCTTACAACTAATCCCACTTGAGTTTTCCCCCCTAAAAAATTAAAAACATCACGGCAAACAAAAATGGCTAGACTAACGTTGGTTCATTTAACTATCCAATTCTAAATTATTCTGGAGAAACTGTTCCTTAAGGAAACCAAGTCAATTGTCAAATCACTTGCTTCACATAAACTGCATCCACATGCTGAACACAAAATTGCTTTCCAATGATAACCTATCCAGACTGAAGATCCGCTTGCAAGTTCTCATGTGCATAGTTGATAATCTTACTTCAAAATTGGATGAATTTCGGAATATGATTCGGAAGCAGCAATGCAAGTTTTAAGCCATCAAAATTGTAAGTCTTGAGAATCTTGCATAACTCATCAACGCCATCAACATCTGTCTCTTCTTCATAATACTTGAGAAAAGCACTTATAACTTGTGGTGAAGGACGCCATTCATCATCCTTGGCTTCTGAAAGAGCCGACTCTAGGTGGCTCACAGCACCGCCCAACTGGCAGTTCTGCAAGTAAAACATCATGAACATTTCCCGAATCTCAAAGAAATGTAGTCCTTTGCTCCTCCTGGTAGCCTCCTTAAAGACCGATGCAGCTTCTTCATCCATGTTCAGACTCAAGTAAGCACTTATACCAATTCTAACCAACCTTAAATCATAACTAACACAACTAGATTCCCACTCCTTAAAGCATTTTATTATGCCCTCCATATCATTAAGCATTTGAAGGGAACGAAGCATAGCAAGATAGCTCACATTGGTCACTGGGGAGACTGACTTGAGTGAATTCCATACTCTATAAACCTCTCCAAGATTACCAGTGCCAGCATAAAGGCCTAGCAAGCAATGATAAGCTTCGCGGTGCAGCATCTTCACCTCTTTTTGCAGCATCCTAAGATAAAACTCAGCTTTCTCAAATTGTTCAGCGTTTACATAGATAGCAGCCAGGTTGCTACACGTGTGCCAATCGATTTTGTTTCCATCCTCTCTTCTCATCTCCTCATAGACTCTCTCAACCCCATCAAGATCATTCAAAGACGCGCAGCTATTCATCCAGATATGATATGTGAGTGCTACCATGGGAATGTTCCTCTGCTTCATTTCATGCACCAGATGAGGCACTTTCTGGGGATGACCCAATCTCATATACATACTCATCAAATTGTTGAAAGCAATACTAGTGACATATCTCAATTCATCCATCTTTTCAAAAAGAGCAAATGCCTTATCTGTCTTTAGTTCCTTGCAATAACAGTGCAAAAGAGCACCATATGTAAACTTGTTCTTGGCTCGAGGATGAAGACCGCTAAAGTAATTCTCAGCTGCAACAACCCCTTTGGCTTTGGATACAAGATCTAAAGCCACTGCATAATCACCCAAGGAAAAGTTAATTTTCCTCATCTCCATCCATTCCATTATCTGCAACCATTGAAAAATGCTAAAAAAAACTATAAAAAAAAAAAAACGAAAAATTTGTCTTTTCACACATTACGGAAATATTATTTTTGCCTAGTTTATGATAATAGAACTCAACATAGATCGAAATAAATAGTTGAACAAATCAAAATTAACAATTTTTTATACCTGCAGTGCGTGCTCGAATCTACGATACTTTCGGAGCTGTTTGACGCAACGGTCTAGCTCCTCTTTTGCAACGGCTTTGCCCTCCGTTATATATTGGTTCAACGTCTGCCACACGCTCCCTCCGGCCACTTCCAGCGCCGATAACCTATGATAAAGGCTTTGCTTTTTCACCTCCGTGCACAGCCCCCGGAGCAGACATCCTCCGCCGGAAATCAGACGGGCGTAATTCATCTCCGTCGCTCTCAGATCGTGCCCTTGTCAATTTATTATTACCTCGAAGGGATTTTCTTAGATTCATCATGAGGAAGTAGGGGTGTAAACGGAAAAGTGACTTAATTTGGTTTATCTTGATCCATTTAAAAATAACTTTTTTAGAAATCAAATCACAACTCAAATGTTTTTTTTTTTTTTTTTAGGTTAAAATATTATATTTTTAATAATTAATTACGACTAGGTAGCAGTTTAAAAAATATTCAAATTTATTGTACTCATTTACGTCCAAATTAGGAGTCTAAATTATGCGTGACTATTCACGCCCAAATTAGGTGTGACTCCCAAGGCATTCTCGCCTAGTTTAGGCGTGAATCATCTGGTGTTGACATGTGACAAAAAAAAGTCAACTTACGAACCGAAAAACTTTGAAAAGTAATAACTTTTGATTCAGGTATCCGAATGAGGTAATTCTTTTTTTGATTCCACATAACTTTTCGAGATCTACGCAATGACATCTCATTTAATATATTTTATCTCTCACAAACACAATCAAATTTGCAACAATTGTATTATACAGTGTATTACCAAATTTTTAAAAAAAAATTATTATTAATAAGAAAAAGAAAATAAAGATTTAATTTGTGATTTAAACTCAAAAATCAATTTGAAAAATCTGTATTAATAAAGAAAATAATTAAATAAATATTCTAAACACTTTTTTTTTTAATAAATAATTACGAATAAGTTGCCATTTTGAACCTAATTACGAATATATTGCATTCATTCACGCCCAATAATGGTACTATAACATTAAATTCAAAATTCAAATAACCTCCAATAAGTTGATTGCATTTTGTATTTAATAGAATTTGATTGTGTTTTGTATTTAATAGGAGCTGATTGCGTTGTAATCTTATGAGTTGGTTACAGATGGTCTCCGATTCAAATAAATTTGTTGGTGGTTATTTGAATTTAATGTTATAGGAGTTGATTGTGTTTTGTATTTAATAGGAGCTGATTGCATTTTGTATTTAACAAAAAATTTGATGTCATCTTATTTATAGATGAGTTAATCCACCTTGGTGCCATTTTTATAGTATCATTGTTATAAATTTGAATTGTGTTTGTGAGATATATATATATATATATATATATATATATATATATATATATATATATAGGGAAAATAATTTCTACAGCTGCTGTACCTACAACAAGCTAGGATCCGCGTTCGGATCCTAGGATCTGCTGCCGGATCCTGTTTTGTTTTGTTTTTTTTTTAAAAAAGCGGTAGAGTCCACTTTTCTGTGTCAGCGGCAACAGATAGCGTTGTCTACTGCTGCAGAAATGTTAAGCTCATATATATATATATATATATATATATATATATATATATATATATTGCAAGTGATATCAAAGGTAAATTCGGAGATCATACAGCATCCATTCCATTGTCCGACTCTAAACCTCTTTACGATTTGGTACCTGGAGCTGGAAGGATCCCATAATTTACAAAAATATATATATAATTAGAATTTCATTTCTCAGTACATTTGAGGATCTCATCTCATCCCGGTGTAATGAATACAGGAAAAGAACCCCCTTTTTCATACATTGATCGCCAAGATATATGTAAGAAAATATGAGGCTACCAAAATATAATTTTTCATCATTTGAACAGTACTTTATACATCAACATCAAAACACATGAACAATTGAACCATTAGTAAGCACTAATAATTCAAACACATATCATGTACCCTTATCCTTTAGCATCATTCTTACTGTTCTCAACATACCTTGTTGGCCTTGGTCGTCATTTTAATCATGCTGTAAAATCTTTGCTAAGTACAAGGTTTGAGCTCAAAACCAAAGCATGGACGTCTCCCTACCATGAGGATTCTATTACCGTTGAGTAGTCCAATTCACCTAATTGTATAGAGATTATAAACTTGGAAATAATCGCATACACTCAAGATCATTCTCTATTGAAAATCACCCCTCATCCGAGATTATTTCTCTCTTATTCTTATATTTCTTCCATATGCAATCATTATATTAACAGACACATACAGCTCGCATACTAGTGTCTCAATATTTATTCTGTTACCACGAACTCATAAGGCTAAGATACTTGTATTTCAATATTCGAATCTGTTTTTATCAATCCTTAAAGCTAGCCTTTTTAAGTTCTGGTTCTGTTTAGTGTTTAAACAAGAATAGAATACTTGTATCTTGTAGGCATAATAGACTCTTGCAAATAAGCCATATCCAAGATAGTACCTATATAAATTTATATCTCAGCAAGCCTCAAACAACACAATAAAAACTCTAAAATGGCTTTATCCTAAGTTTATAGAACAATAGTACATGAACTTTGGACTGGGAATAGATTCCGACTACGTTGAAATCGATTCCCAATATGTTCAGCTAGCTCAGAGTTCACTAATGATCTTATTCCCTTTCTTTATCAGTTCTAACATGCATATAGAGTTAAGTGCTCCCTATACTACTCATTTTCAACAAATTTCCAATGTAGAAGATCAGTATTGATATTTGCATATACAATCCTTAACATTCAACTCTCAAAATTCAACCTCAAATTCAAACCTCAAAGTTCAGCAACTACCCAATGAGAAAAATGCCTAGACTAACGTTGGTTCATTTAACTATTCAATTCTAGACGATTCTGGAGAAACTGTTCCATAAGGAAACCATCTCAATTGTCAAATCACTTGCTTTACATAAACTGCATCAGCATGCTGCACACAAAATTGTTTTTCCAGGATGGACCTATTCAGAGTGAACACTTGCTTGCAAGTTCTAATGTGCATGGTTGACTTGAGAGTCTTCCTTCAATATTGAATGAATTTCAGGAGATGATTCGGATGCCGCGATGCAAGTTTTAAGCAAGGAATCATCAAAATTGCAAGTCTTGAGAATCTTGCATAGCTCATCAACACCGTCAACATCTGTCTCTTCTTCATAATACTTGAGAAAAGCACTTATAACTTGTGGTGAAGGACGCCATTCATCGTCCTTGACTTCTGAAAGAGCCGCCTCTAGGTGACTCACAGCACCACCCAACTGGTGGTTCTCCAAGTAAAACATCATGAACATTTCATGAATCTCAAAGAAACGTCCTTTGCTCCTCCTCATAGCCTCCTTAAAGACCGATGCAGCTTCTTCATCCATACCCTGACTCAGGTAAGCACTTATACCAATTCTAACCAACCTCAAATCATAACTAACACAACTAGATTCCCACTCCTTAAAGCATTTTATTATGCCCTCCATATCATTAAGCCTTCGAAGGGTATGAAGCATAAGAAGATAGCTCACATTGGTCACTGGGGAGACTGACTTGAGTGAATTCCATACCCTATAAACCTCTCCAAGATTACCAGTCCCTGCATAAAGGCTTAGTAAGCAATGGTAAGCTTCGCGCTGCCACAGTTTCAACTCATTTTCCAGTTTCACCTCTTTTTCCAGCATCCGAAGCACCAGCTCAGCTTTCTCAAATTGTTTAGCCTTTACATAGATAGCAGCCAGGTTGCTATACGTCTGCCAATCAATTTTACCTCCATCTTCTCTTCTCATCTCCTCATAGACTCTCTCAACCCCATCAAGATCATTCAAAGACGCGCAGCTATTCATCCAGACATGATATGTGAACGCAGCCATGGGAATATTCCTCTGCTTCAGATCATGCACCAGCTGAGGCACTTTCTGGGGTTGACCCAATCTCATATACATACTCATCAGATTGTTGAAAGCAATACTAGTGACATATCTCAATTCATCCATCTTTTCAAAAAGAGCCAATGCCTTATCTGTCATTAGTTCCTTGCAATAACAGTGCAAAAGAGCACCATATGTATACTTGTTCTTGGCTCGAGGAGCAAGACCGCTAAAGTAATTCTCAGCTGCAACAACCCCTTTGGTTTTGGATACAAGATCTGTCTGCACTGCATAATCATCCAAGGAAAAGTTAATTTTCCTCATCTCCATCCATTCCATTATCTGCAACCATTGAAAAATGCAAAAAAATAAAATAAAAACAAAAATGATAAATTTGTCTTTCTACATTGAACTGAAATTATTTTTGCCTTGTTTATTATGATTTTAAAAAAAAAAAACCTCAAAGTTTACAAGTTCTGAAACCTGGAGTGCGTGCTCGAATCTACGATACTTTCGGAGCTGCTTGACGCAGCGCTCGAGCTCCCCTTTTCTAACGGCTTTTCCCTCCATTATATATTGGTTCAACGTCTGCCACACGCTTCCACCGGTCATTTCCAGCGCCGATAGCTTTCGATAGAGGGTTACCTTTTTCGCCTCCGTGCACAGCCCCCGGAGAAACCATCCTCCGCCGGAAATCAGACGGGCGCAATTCATCTCCGTCGCTCTCAGATCGTGCCCTTGTCTGTTTCTTATCCCTCGTTGGGGTTTTGTAAGGGTTCATCAAAACGCAGAAGTTCAAGTCGTTTTGGCTTTCACTTGAATTAACCAGTAACCGGTAACAGGTAACAGGTAACCTTTTTGTGTTTTTTAAGGTTAATATTTCCACAAGAGAGAGAGAGGGGGTTACAAACAGTTTAACTGAACTGAATAGTTTCTAGTGGTGACAGTTAGAGAGAAATGAAGGCGCTATGCATTGTTGGTGGTGGTGCCCCAATGCTTTGTTCGAGTGTTCGGAACCATCGATTTCGCGTTTCCTTCTCTTCTTCTTCTTCTTCTTCTTCTTCTTCTTCGTCATCGGGATCCAGATCGGTGCGTATCTTCTACTTTTGTTTTGCATATTCTTTCTGTATATCTCTTACGCAGTCCCATGATTCCTATATTGTGAATTAAATAAGGTAAAACAAGCGGAGATTGCAGCTTCAAAGCCTGAATACAAGCCCGGTGTGTTTGATGATTTGTTCCTCAATTTGTTCCGCAACAAATTGGTACAGGTAAAGGATCCCCTTCTAGCCTCTTATTCTTATGAAGATGGTTCGTTTTTCCTCTTTTGTTTGTCTAATATTTTAATTTATGGGGTATCAATTTTTTCATCTTAATTAGATGAAAATTCATGTTGTGCAGGGTTACCTTGTTTATCACATAATTGGTGGGATGGGATAGATGTGTATTTCTTTATTTTTGTTTTTTGTTTTTTGTTTTTTGCAATATATAATGAAAAAACATAAATCCACACACTTTTATATGTGTTGTTGGAGATATAATTATCCAGTATAACGTGACAAATATTAATATATATGATTATTGTGGTAGCTGAGTGTGAATACTATAACAGGAGGTGGGATGGGACTCAAAGAAACCTGGATATAGTGGACTAATTGAAGTTGCGAACCGTCTAATGATGAAAGGCACTACAAATTCCGATACCATAGAAGCAGCGGTATATCCATTTCTCTCTCTCTCTCTCTCTCTCAAGCTTTTATTCATTCAAGTGTCTCTTTGAAAATCTTTCTGATATGCAATAGCATTTCACTTAAGGAGTGTTTGACAAATCAAGTACATAGTTTCAAATTTGTTCACGTTAAAACTAGTTTAATATCAAATATTGTTTGTTAGAAAAAGGGGGAGCTCCCTCTAGGCAAGTCTTACTTACATTTGCACGAGAGGCTGATTGCATAGATCTTGGTAAGAACTGATCAGATAAAGAATTTGGCTTTTCAGAATTGGTGATTAGACCATTACTTACCATACATACGAACTTTTAAAACAACTCCACCGTTTTGGTTTTTGGAGTTCGGCAAACTCCTTCTAAGACAGTACTTACTTGATCATTTATGTATGCGTTTCCACAACAATGCAACTTAGGTCATCACATTTATTTTATAGTAATTCACTGTATGAGGTTGTGACTTGTGATAGGTACGAACATTGAGGTCTCTGTTCCCTCCATTCCTTTTGGAGCTCTATAAAATGCTCATAGCTCCTATTGGAGGAGGTAAAATTGCTGCTATGATGGTTGGTGAGTCTGACTGATCAAATACATCTCGTTTTTTCATTTCTTCCTGATGAATCCCAACTCTTTGTTCCTGTCTGATGTTTCCCTAAACGCAACAGACTAAGAAACTTGTTTAGATATCCTAAAACGTTTTTAAGTTTTGAAGCAAGGGTTACTGCACTGACTTGTCAATGGCTCATGGGCCCGTGCAAAGTCAATTCTGTTGACTTACCAGATGGAACCACATGCAGTAGTGGGGTGATCACCTGTACTTTTCTATGTTTGATCCTTATGAGTGCTGTAAAACTCAGACCAAATATTCCCCTAATCTTCGAAGTGATGTATTTTTTATGAGTTCTTGTAGGTCTATGTGGAAAGATGCAAGTATCTGGAGGAAAGCAAGTGTGTTGGTATTTGCATCAACACCTGTAAGTTTCCAACACAGGTTAGTGATTCTTCAAAGTCATTTTTTTCAGTTACTATAAGAGCTAAAATTGTCGTGTATGCTTCGAAGTTCTTACATTCTCTGGATGGTTGCATCTGACTCTATTTTAAATCTAGACTTTCTTCAAGGATCATATGGGAGTTCCACTACTTATGGAGCCCAACTTTGGTGATTATAGCTGTCAGGTAATACTGAGTAATCTCTTATGGAGCCGAACTATGTAAGATGACCACCCTGTCACTACTCTCTTATCGTTTTAAAATTGCAGTTCAAATTTGGGGTTCTTCCTCCACTGCTTGAAGACGACACCGTCCTGAAGGAGCCTTGTTTGGAAGCATGTCCAAATGCTGCCCAGAGAAGAATGGTTGCCAGAAATATAGAAGTAATTGCGTGCCCAAAGACATGAATATATTTGTCTTCAATGTACAAAACCTCCTACACATTCTGGCCCCAACTTTGTCTTTGAAGATGGAACTGAAGGCATGGGTTTTCTTGCTTCCGTAGCGATAAATAATTCATCTTTGACTAAGCTCATATATGAAATTATTAATACAACTCATCATTTTCGTAAATAGATTGTTGATACTTTGGACTCGTTTGTATATTATGGATGTTTCCCCAATTTTAGACATTTTAAGATAATGATACAACTGCTAAAATAGTTTTTTTCTTTTCCTGGTTAGATATAAAAATTAATCAGAACCGCTTTTTTTAAAAACAAGGATTGGGAGCCCATGCCATTTTATCAAAACATGGTGTAGGAACCTGTGTCAAACACGCGAACGAGGCTTGTGTTATGTGTTTGTCAATATCACTCATCGGAACTAGAAAATGGAGCTCTATAGAGTTACATGAACTAGCAACTCCATTAATTATTTGGTAAATAACTTTGTCATCAAGTTATTAGTTTTTTTTAAGAGAAAAATATTTGTCCTTTTAAAGAATAATTTTTTTTTTTTAAATTAATGTATGACAATTTTGGATTACAATATAAATATGTAATTAAGAATCGGGATTAAACAATCAACTACTGATGGTTCAAGAAAAAATTGTATTTTAATTCATATTTTATTTAATTTTTATGTACTACACAATGACTGTTTTAGACTGCAACATAAAACTCTGAATTTTTGTTACTTATTAAAAAAGTTACACAATTTTGTTCACAACTAAAATTTATAAAAAGGAAAAGTTCAAAAACCACTCTGGTGTTGCTTTGAATCATTTATATTCTGATATTTTTTTGAATCACTTAATCCGCTATAATTTTTTTCATCCACAATCGTGCGTAAACTGTTAGAAACTTAATTAGAAGAAGAAAATAAAGTGATAAAAAGAATAAAATGTTATGAAAACTTAGAACACTTAATAGAAATCTAAAAGAAAAAATAAAAATCAAATCAAATACGCCTAAATAAAAAAATAGAATAAAGACAAAAAATAGAAGAAAAATAAGGTCAAATATGTTAAAAATCACAACATAAAATATTAAAAATAAAAAAAATAAAAGTAGTCTAAAAGAAAAAAAAAATACTGAAGACGAAAAAATAGAAGAAAAATTAAGATAAAAAATAAAATAAAAAAGAAATGAAACAAAAATAAATCACAATTATGAATTTTCAATATATTTGGTTTTATTATTTTTAATTTTTTCTATTTTGTCCTTAATCTATTTGATTCTTTTTTATTAGATATGGTTGGTCTTTTTCTTTTTTCCTTTTTTACTTTTTGGTCTATGTTATTCTGATTTTCTTCTTTTTTTAGCTTTGTGCCACCCTATCTATTAAAGATTTTCATTAAAAAAAATAAAAAAAGAGAGAGAGAATGAAATAGAGATATGAAAAAGATCAAATGTATCAAAATAAAAATAAATAAAATAGATCGAGGATAAAAAATAAATAAAAAAATCAAATGTATTGAAAATTCATAACTGTGGTTTTTTTTTTGTTCTATTTTTTTTATCTTAATTTCTTATTCTTTTTTATTTTTTTGTATTCAGTATATATATTTTTCATTTAGACTTTTTATTTTATTTTTTATTTTTGTCACTATTGTGATTTTTAACATATTTGGTCTTACTTTTTTTTTCTATTTTTTGTTCTTATTCTATTCTTTTTATGTAGACACATTTGATCTTTTTTATTTTAGTCTTTTATTAAGTATTCTATGTTTTTATGACATTTCGGCTTATTTTTTCATCACTTCATTTTATTTTTCTAAGAAGGGTAAAGTAGGTATATTTAGTCAAATTTCTATGAGTGTTAAGGAGGGGATGGATGGAAAGACCACATGGGGTTAATTGATTAAAAAAAGTATAGGGTGTAAGTGATTTAAAGCAATAACACTTGGGTTTTTTTTGAATTTTATCCTTTATAAAAAAACACCAATATCTCATGCTTCTTCATTTTCATAAAAAAAATTTCTGCCACGTTCACATAAAAGTGGATGAGTCTCATTGTAAAGAGAAAAGAGAGAAAATAAAGTAGGTCCCACTCAATTTTATATGAGTGTGGCAGAAATTTTTTTTTACAGTAAATGCAGAGACATTAAGGGAAATATAGCTCTGCTATTGATGTAAAAAAAATTTCAGCAGCTGCATATAAAAAATTCAGGATAAGCCGATGGATCCTAGTTTTTTTTTTTAAATAAGTGGGTTCCATTTTTTCTGTGTCTGTTGTAAAAAAAAGAAAAAAAAATCTGCAAGTGATTGCAATTAAACCTTTTTTTTTTTTTTTTGGTAGACAACATTAAACCTATTTTATTTTGTGTGAAAAGTACAAACGCAAAAGATAAAAAAAAAAAAAAAGTTTTGCGTTATAATATCCAATACTTATGCATATTAAACACTGGAATTCACAAAAATTTTAATTTTATAATTAGTCATCAAATAGTAAAAAATAAAAAAAATTAGTTTTTTTATATATTAATAGAACTGAGAAAGAATCCGTTTACAAATTTTTTTGACAAATTTTTACAAATTACGCTCTCTTCTCCCGAGAGAACATAGTAGAACTTAGTGTTCTCTCGGAAAAAAAAATAGTATAATTTGTAAACAAAAAAATTTCTAAATATAACATGTCCCGTAGAACTGATGTTTAAACTTTAAACCTCTAATTTTATGTAAATTATCAAAGCCCCTCACCGTTATGTTATGGATCAATGTTATGGACCCAACAATTCAAAGGCCCAACCCATTAACGTTCCACATCCAAAGAACCTTAACTCCATTGGGTTGTGTTTGGTTCAAGGGTTCTCAAAATTTTCCCATCTAAATGCATGTGGCAATCCTTGTTCTCCTTGTTTGGTTGAAAGATTTCATAACTTTTATCCATCAAACACACTTGTCCATCTAATTAGAAATGTGTGTTAAAAATTGACAAAAACACTGTTGATGAATGCTCTTTGAGACATAGTATTCCTATAAAAAACCAGAGAAATGAAAAAGTGGGTGAATACACTGACATTAATACCCCTCTTCTTATATGTTGTAATGGTTCAAAATTTTATAAAAAAGGTTGCTTTCGTAAATTTCATCTATTTTCCCATCAAATTTTTATTTTCAACCAAACATACACTCAGTATATTTAACCCAATTTCCCTACTAATATTTTAAGGTACCAAATAACTTTTTTTAAACTTTTCTACCAAACTTACTTTCCAACATTTTTCCTTGTATTTACATTTTTCTAGTAAAAAAATATATCTACTGAACCAAACACCCCCTTGAAGTAATCTTGGAACTACCTAAAAGGCTCCTCGTCATTTGTACAAACGCAAAATATCTTCTTATATTAGAGAAAAGTGTGTATCATTTTAAAGGACGTAAAGTTGTGTCATTTTAAGTGAGAAAAAGAGATAGATAAAGGAGGATAGAGAATGAACAAAAAATATAAAGGTGTGGGTCCCACCGAGTGGCGGACCCAGGATATTTTTCTTTATGTCTGCATAATTTTTTTATTTTTTATTTTAAAGATCATGATCATGGTTCAATTTTTGCTTCCACTTCAAAAGTAAAACTTTGGTGAATCAACCAAAGTTTTAAGGAAATAATAGATAATAATTAAAAAAAATAAACACCACAAAAAGACATTTGTAAAATATAGTATAATTGTAAGAGTTAATCAATCAAAAACCCACCTTTGTCGATGTCTATTTGATCCAAAGTTAGCCACTTTTGTTTCACAAAAAAACGTGAAAAATCTCGTGAGATTCTCCTCCACTTGAAGAAGATTGAATTTCAGGAATGTTGATGTTTATTAAGATTTGGAGCTAATAGTGTTTATGAAAAAAAAAAAAAAAAGACAAAGCAATGGGCTAGGGTTTAAGCTTTAAGTTTTTAATTGTAGGAGTTGGTTGAGTTGGACATATTTTTATCTTTTTCTTTTAATCTTCCTTTTTTTCTTTTCTTTTTTACTCGACTTGAATCACTCATCTCATGTGAATTTTTTTTTCCCAACTTTGTGTCTGCAAGTGAAGGCACTTGCACTAACCTGCATTCGTCATTGGTCTCACATCTTTGTAAGAGTAAAATAATATAAGTTGTGTCATTTAAAAGGACAAACATTTTTTCCATAATATAAACGAGAGAACTTTACTAACGAGCTCCCTCACGTCAGCATCCCAAACACGGATTTTTTTATTGTAATCCAGGCTCATATCATTATTTTGTAATCTTTTTTCAAAAGAGATAAAATTTCATCTCATTTATACCCTTATCTTTTTTTCAAATTTTTTCTTGTCCTTTTTCCTCTTATATTTAGAAAAGGTGCCGTTGGACCGGGACTACGGTAAACAAGCTCCCCAGACACCTTCCACGGCAAGATTTTGCTACAAAGAACAAGTCAAAGCTTAGAATATTATTTAAAGAAATTAATTTCCAATCAATCAAACATATTCAACCAAAGGACGCCTTACGTGCGTGCACTAGTGGTTGGGCTACTTTTAATTACATTGAGCTGCATGATGGCCCACAATTAAACCAATTTCATTCCATTTGACACATAGTAGATTGACCTCACTAGGTCTTTTTATAATTTTAAAATAAATTAAGGTTATGAAAATCCTAACCTGTGGTAGAATTTGGGTTTCTAAATGTCATACTGCCCTACCTAATCAGCCTAACAAAAATTTATTTTCCTATTTGGAATATGCTAGGGCATGATTGGATTATCACTTGGCCCCACACCACTAACCAATTTATCCGGTTCATCCTTATTTTTCGTTGAATTGTCTACATGCCACCTTTGTCGGTTCTTAGAAATCTGTTTTATCTAATTATCTAATGTTAAACTCGATTCATCTTACCACGCTGATCGTGCCAAATGGACCTAAATAATCGATTTAGAGCAAATCATCCATTTCATCAAAAAGATCTATAAAAGAGGATTATTTCGCTCACATAACGGAAGTCCATGTTCACAACGGAATGGACATATGTCACTATTGATACATGGTCGTAAAACAAAAGATGTCACCTAAATATTTGGGTAGGAAAAAATTTAAAGTGATCTCGATTCATAATTGTCCTTTCATTAAAAAGATGATATTTGAAAAAAAATATATTTTTTTCTTTTATCTCTCATCTCTTCTCACTCTCTTCTCTCTTTCTCTTTCTTGGGATACTGACCATTTTGTCACGTTTTAAC